CCATAAACCCTAGATCTAATAAACTATAACTGAAATTAGGGTTTAGATCTTACCTTTGATTGTTATATAGTAATAACAATCAATTCCTTGCTTTGATTGGCTTCAGAAAGCTTAGTGCATCAAGTGTTGCACCTCTAATGGAGTCACAAACACCACTAAGCAATTGGATGAAGGAGAGAAGAGAGGGGAGGCACCAAAACGGCTGGAAACCTAAAGGAACACTTAGCCACGTTTTTGGGGCATAGGGGTCCTTTATATACATGTAGGCTATTAGGGTTTGCAACTAGGAAACCTTAATCTGACTGCTTAGGCCCTAAGCAGCCCATGGACTCCTTTAACATATCCCTTGGACGAATTCCTTATGGGCTTCCCATAGAATTCATCCAACCTATATATTATTAGGTGATCCATAGCCCAATTGTAATTATCTTATAATTACAACTCCAGCCCCCTAAGTTTAATTAATCTCTTTTAGTCACAAAATTAATTCTTAATTAATTCTTGACTAATATTAATTAAACAATATGATTTCTCCTTTAATATATTATTCTTATAATATATTAATAAATCATAATGAAACCTTTCTCTCCTTAATTCATCCTACATATTGCTATGGTGAAGGCAACCCAAAAGGACCATGCTCATAATCGGGTCAAGTACATACCAAAATAGTTATGGGCTTAGACACTAATCCAACAGTTTCCTCGATGAGGATGAGAAACACATCCCGGTCTCATACCTGCCCCTGTCCTGAACACCTGCACGATTCTCCCCCACTTAGAATCGACTAAGTCCGCTTGGTCCATGAAAATTGAAGGATCCTCAATCCTTCTTACGTTCCAATAATTAATTTGCTGACGACCGATGCTTACCAAACTAGTGCACCATAAGAAACCCTGCCCAAAACAACACAACTCCTAAAAACCAGCTAACACTTCTCGTATCCCAACAACATCAATGACTTCAAACGATTAAAATCGATATTACGCTCAGATCTCGGATTCCAATGAACGGATAGTCTAACCAAAACCTCCGCAATAACTCCCTCTTCCCTCGGCAATCCTGATGGATCTTCCAAACATAAATACTAAGGCTACTGAAAACTAGTCATAACTCCCTCATTCAAGCCCTTAAACCAACCCTGAAAATGATTGGAGCAGGTGCACTCACTGCTCCTCCCTGATCGTCAGACAGTCGACCTCCTTGTCGTCCACCTGATCACAACAAAAACATAACGGGCTTGCTCCCTATGGGAAATCCCTGAAGGCGTGACCAAACCTGCTACACCCGTAGCAACCCAGATCATTGAACAGATTCCGACAACGACTCAGAGCAATCACGGTACACGCGGAATCCGTTCCGCAAGATACATTTGTCTGAAGATCTCTCAAATATTCCTCGACGTGCTGATTGGCATCTGAAAACCCTTGCTAACCCATACGATAGCTGAAGACCAATCCGAGATCCAACTTATCACAATTCCCAAGCGATACAAATACCCGGTATCCACTGGAAATGGCCGAAGATAGCATATCCGCAAACATTTGAAGGGATATTGACCACCTCCTCCTGTGATACCTCGACCACCCTGAGAGCATGATGTAACACCTTATTCCGATCCCAATGACAATCCAAACCCTTGGAACGAAACTTCATCACGCAGTTCCTACAAACGTTGCACTGGATCCGACCCTGCTGTCCTCACAAAACCTGATCCAAACTCTTGGGTCTTCGCCCGAGACCCTCCAATAAATTCACCTGACCCAAACCTCTCTCATTGAGGTACTCCTAATCAATCTTCCGTCCTTGGTTCTGATACCCATATCATTCAGGGTCTCGCACCCCGACACAATCATCAGCTCAAACGCCAACGGCTGAACTTCAGAAGTTGGAGCAACCTCTGCTCTAAACCGGCTATAAACTATTCCCAGACATAGATTCAAATCCCAAAGCTCAATAAATCGCACAATCAACCCTTGCCGCCTAATACAAGAGATCCAAGGCAAACTCGAAATCTTGGCAATCATTCCGCTAACTGGCTCACCACCGGAGTCGGGACCAAACCCTGGTCCTTCCCCTTGCGTGCTCATCCACATTTTGCATAGCATCTATCCCCACAGTCCAATCATAACCAAGAATTCTCCTTCCAAGGCTTCTTAGATTCTCCAAGACTTTTCCCGATTCGAGTATGGATCCTGTGCTTTCAGTAGTACGGGCTCAATACTTCCTTCCACACCTATCCATACTTTCCTCCGGAATCCTCCTGAATCCTCTAAGTCACCTACTCCCATGATGTACCAAATGTCTGCTAAACAGCATCACAATATACACCGAAGCACCTCTTAGGCTCCCCCTAGGTTCCCAACCTACCCAGTCCTCAGCTGCTGAAAGATTCCCAGTAATGTCAACTAGCTACCTTATGAATATAGCCACATGTAGCAGAGATCAGATAATCCTTCAAGTAAAAGACTCAATCCTATAACGGTTAGACTCAAACAAGAGCTGTGCAATAGGGCCAGAATCACTCTGAGATTATCCAACCTGTGCCACATGTGACCTAGCATATTCACTTAGTAGCTAGCTCGCATTGCTAGAAGTCCCACAAAGCACAAAGCAAGCATCATTCAGACAACGGAAAACTAACCACATATTCCAAACAAACAATTCTACCTATGCATACAATTCATAATCAGGTGACTCATGTCACTAATCTCATCCTGGGCTTACCCTAGGGTAATCCCCGACCCACGAACTATCATACAAAATTTTGCCCATAAACCATGACCCATTATGTCCACATCCACTCTCGTTGTCGGTTGCCTTATGCATGCAAATTATACACAGAACAGGATCTAATAGACTGTTGAATAATATACTCTACCCTAGGACCACAACCAGACGAGGAACAGGAAATAAGGTCAAATCAGTTATTCTAGGGCTATAATATCCTAACCGTATATAATTTTTAAAACATACACTTAGCAGTTACAAATACCAATAATCCTTCTCATTCAAGCATGGCATACAATATTTCCAAAGCTACCAGCATCACATATCAGGCCAATCTATTGCTGACTACTCAGCACTAGCATGCAAGTCTGCCAGCTCAAACAACATGTAAAGGCATCTCTCCTAGCCCTAACTAGCATGCGATTCTCAGATTCATAAACCAAATCATAACAGATAACATATATGGGTATTCTGGGAAAACTTACTTGAGCTCGGTTGATTGCATGCACCACACCCTTTCTTGTCTTAAAAATTCTTTACTTAAAACATTTTCCTTTGAATTTTTTTTTAAAACCTTACAGATCCTCAGTTTGAGTTCAGACACACCCGAAGGTATCCCCGAATCCCTCAAACCAAGGCTCTGATACCAACATGTAACGACCCAAAAATCGGGGGGGGGGGGGGGGGGGGGGGGGGGGGGGGGGGGGGGGTAAAATTTTCATTTTTAATACAACCCGAACATAGATATCATTTATTCCAATCATTCCAAAACATTGTTAATTAAAAACATTTATCAGAGTTCAACCCAAAATCCTTCATTGCAGAAAACATGGGTGTGTGCGTTGCGATCAAGCTGAGCCCTTCCTTTCCAAAACAAAGATACATGAAACCATAAATAAAACTGTAAGCACGAAGCTTAGTGAGTTCCCCAGAGCACACCCACACATAAACACGTACAACATATCATGCTAGCTAAACAGCTATACATAACACATAAGCCATACAAAACAACACATAAGGAAGCCCTGGAAACCCTCCAGGGTCTTACTCCGGGTGTCATGGGAACCGGCATGGTCTTAGCCCAATGCCTCGGGAACCCCCCGGGGTCTTTGACCTAGGAAGCCAAGGAAACCCTCAAAGGTCTTATACCTAAGTGCCTCGGGAACCCCCCCCCCTGAGGTCTTTGACCTAGGAAGCCAAGGAAACCCTCCAAGGTCTTACACCTAAGTGCCTCGGGAACCCCCCGAGGTCTTCCATACACGATACACAGAAACAAATAGCATATCACATACCACATAATCAACTAGCATACCACATAACACGAAATCAACTAGTATATCACATAATGCATAATGGGCCGGCCTTGGTGCCTTAGACCCATTGGTATGGTGAGGAGACTCACCTCGAATGCAGAAGCCTCCCGAAAGAAATCCTTAGCTGCTACCCTGTCCACTTCCCGAGCTATCAATACCAATTAATATACCCAATTAGCAATTGGGTCCCATACCATAATCCTTAATCCATGCATAGGGTAAAATGACCATTCTACCCCTGGCCTAGTATGATCCAAAACTAAGGCCCAACCCAAAACAAAAGCCCAACACTAGGTAGGCTTTCCAAGCCCACTAGTGGCCCACTAATGGCCCAATTTGCTAAATTGGACCCAATCCCTCTAATAGGCCTTACCTTAAGCCCAAACATATTCCTGGCCCAAAACATCTGACATCTAATGGTCCACTAAGGTCCAAAGGCCCAAAGTCCACTGCCTGGCCCAACCCGAGGCCCAAAACAGTCCAAGCCCACAACTAATGAGTACGAGAGTTGTACTCCCTTGGCTGAAGGTGGTGCGCACGCTAAATAGATAACTTGAAGACCCACTTGATAAGGCCATTATAGAAATGGATCATGGAAGTGACAACGAAAGGTCTGATATTCGTATTGATGACTCTGGGCTAGGGTCACCTCGAAGGGATTCTCCTGTCAAATCGATTTCCGAAGAGAATGGAAGTCCCAGTGCAAATGAAAATGTATCTAATACGGATACAATCACCAAATCGAGTGATCCCACGTCTAAATCCATCCCTGAGAAGACCAAGGTCATACCACCCGAGGTTTCGCTAACTAAGTCCTATACGGAGGAGGTTATAACCTTAGACATCAATTTGAACATATCTAATACGGACATAAATGTCATCATGGGTAAAGGGATGTTGAACAACAAATCCTTTGCTACTTTAAATCTTGAAACATCTACTATTTCTACATTGCTCATGCTTTCATCCACCATCGAAACCTCAATCCTTGACACATCAACTTCGTTACCACCATTATCTTCACCTATCCCATCTTCACTTCCTGTTTCCACCATCTCACCAACATATTCCACAATAATGCAAGAACCAGTTACTACTCTCTTATCTTCGCAATCTACAAAAGTTGAGAGGATAGTTCAGGACAATGAACCAAATGACGATGACATCATGGTTTCTTTTACTGACTTGCAATTTGATCCAGAGGAAAATAATGTTCCTGATAACATGATAACGTCAGGTAAACAATTCAAGATCCTCAACAACAAACTCAATTCTCTTATACATATCCAAGCAGATATTGGGGGTCAAAATTTCGTTTATGGGGTCGAAATGGAGTACATGTTAAAGTCACAAGAGAATCGTCTTAGAAGTTTGGTGTAAAATATTGAGAAGCAACAAGTTAAAAGGTTGGAAGTTCATGCCAAAAGTTTTGAGTATGAGATTCTTAAGCTTCGTGAAATTGCTAAGGAGCATCATGAACTTTTCATTGAGCACATGAAAACTATGAAAGAGTCTGTTTATCTCAAGATGGCTGAACTTAAATTAGAGATTGCCAAAGAGGTTGAGAATATAGAGAAAAGTTATTTTGTTCTGCACAGAAAAGTTGATGTTGTTGCTGATGCTATTGAAAAGTTGATTGAATACAATACCGCTTATTCAACTAAGCTTGATGTGAAGACGGAAAAGGATTCCTAAGGATTTGAAAAGTTGGAGGAATTCTTAAGTAGTATCAAGGAATCCATTTCGAAAAATACTCTTTCAAATCAATATTCTGTTTCTCAGGAATCAATTTCTCAGTTGATTTCATCTATTGAGACAAATCTCAAAGCGGAACTTGCTCCCATCCTTGAGTTGGTTCTTCTTTTACCAACTAATGCCCATCTGCGAAGCAAGTGGCACAAGGAGGGGAGAAAGAATGTGGAGGCGTTGGATCTTCAAAAGATATAGAGAAAGGAGAGGTTGTTGGGAAGGTGATGTCCACTCAGATACCCACTTCACTTCTAGTTTCATTAACAACAACCTCAACTACAACCACAACAAGACCTATTACGAAAGGGATTGTTATAGGAGATAGTGTTGGAAGTTTTTGTTCGAACTCTATGCCACCTCCTTCGAAAAACAAGCAGGGACACACGGGAAAAGGTGTTGAGGTTACTCCTTCAGACGAAGAAAAGAAGAAGAAACAAGCCTTGGAGATCGAAAGGCAAAGTCAAGTCAATAGTATATTGAGGAGAAGGCAGAATGATCCACTAGGCTTGAACAAAGGTGATCCCAACAAGCATTGGTGCTACGAAACTATTGAGGAAATTGTTTCAATTGGGAAGTTTTAGTAATTTCGCAAAGTACCAAAGAAGAGTTATGAGGTTGAGAACTCTGATTTTAATCAACTTGGTTTCCCAATAAATTATATGATGTACATATCTTCTCAATACAAGTTGGATGATCACCTTAATGACAAAGAAGAATATAAAAGACTGAAGATAAGATTTCATGCAGTCTTGGGGAAAAGTAAAGAGGAGGTTTGGTCATCTGTGAAGATCATAAAAGTGATGTATATTTCACGTGAGAACTTGTTCGAATGCATACTGCAGAATTTCCGCTATGTGGTTGTTAGAGCGAATAATGTGGTCTGTGATTTTTCGATTTCTGATTTGCCATGGATGAACTTAAATGACTTCGTCACTGTGACAAAGATTTTAAGCAGTGTGGATGTTACAAAGTTGCCATAGAACAACAAGGATGATTTTCTCAATGGATTTTCTCATATCAAGGTTCTTACTGATAACTATTATGATTGCCTCGCAATCACTGATATTGAGCTGGCTATGGCTGTCAACAAGAGTTCAAAAGTTCCCCAAGCCTTGCTAAAGGGGAAGATCAACATTGATGAATATGAAGATGGGGAAATCATTCATCAACCTTTGGGAGTGGTTTTTCATATCAAAAACAAGAACGGGAGGATGGCAAAGTTTTTGTTTCAAGTATGCGATGTAGAGAGGTATACGAATTCCCAATATACAAGCCTTCTTTTTCGAGTTAACAACTGCAAAAGGAATGACGCAGTTGACAAAGCTAAAATTCGAAAGACAATACTTTGGTATATGGAGATTCGCGGTGTACTTCTTCAGATTATGAAGCTAATGACATAATTTCGACTTTTCTAACTAAGGGAGAGATTGTAGCGTGCGAAATGTCTAGTGAAAAGTCGAAATTAGTTTTAGTCTGCTTGGGTTCGAATTCATGTACTTCGAAGTGTATGTATTTTTCAAGTCACCTGTTGATGTCGATGTCCAATGTCTAGTCCTTGAATATTTTTTGTGTGCCTATAACACTCTATAAATAGTGTAAGTATATGGGTAAAGAATAGCTTTTGCACGTTTCTTTCTTATATTCTATCTCTTTAGCTTGTGTACTCTTACGGATGATTAATGAGCCAATCAGATATTATTTACGATTGTGTTCTTATTGCTTTCAGTGATTGATTTTGTATTCTAAACTCGATTTAAACACTCTTCAGAATTTCATCATCAAATCACATGTGGAAAAGCCTGAGAAATTCAAAGGCTCGGATTTTCAGAGATGGAAATAGAAGATTTTGTTTTACTTGACAACTCTTCATGTTTCCAATGTTCTCACTGATGATTCTCTTTCCCCCTACTAGTGTGACCACTACTAAAGGGACAAATCCACCCACTGCAGCCCAATTGGCAGAACATCAAAGGGTTGTGGAAACTTGGAACATAAGTGATTATAATTGTAGAAATTATATTATGAATGCCTTAGATGATTACATCTATGATATCTACTCTACCATGACTAATGAAAGAGAGATATGGGAATCATTGGAAAAAAAATACAAAACAGAAGTCGCATGTTCCAAGAAATTCGTGATTGGAAAGTTCATTAATTTCAAGATGGTGGATACCAAAACTGTCCTCAAAAAAATGGAGGAACTTCAAGTAATTGCTCATGATCCTGAAGTTGAAGGTATAGGAATAAACTCTAACTTTCTTTTTGGTTCAATCATTGAAAAACTCTCTCCTTATTGAAAAATTTTCAAATTATATCTTAAGCACTTTACTGATGGTATAAGTTTTAAGAAACTTATGTTGACAATTCGTGTTGAAGAAGATAATAGATTGAATGAGAAGGATGATGCAAATTCCTTGGAACCAAGTGCAAACTTTGTTGGATAAGTAAGTACTTCCAAGACAAAGCATAACAGCAAGAAAGGGAAAAATAGCTCCAAAAACTCCTCTAAAGATGGTAAAAATCATGGCCCAAACAAGAAGAATTTCAAGAAGAATTCGAATCCATGTTATGTTTGTGGTAGAACTGGACACAAGGCCAAAGATTGCATATTTATGAAGGGACAATGAGGAAATAGAGGAGGAAACAATGGAGACAATGGTGGAAATTTTGGTGGAGTAACTTCTGGTCAAACCAAACATGGTTGAATCACCAAATCAGTTTGTTGATGTGATTCAAACCAATATAGTTAGCAATTGTGTGGATTTGTGGATTGATACTAGAGCCACAATTCACATGTGCAACTCTCAAACCATGTTCTCAACATACCAGAAAGTATCTGATTTTGAACCAATATTTATGGGGAATGCTACCACTACAAAAATTGAAGGAAAGGGCAAAGTGAAGCTGAAACTGACTTCTGACAAAGAACTTGTGCTAAGTGATGCCTTGTGTGTTACTAAAACTACTAAGAATCTGATTTCTGGTACTATTTGTTGAGGTCGAAATTAGTTGAGAGGTGTCGAAATATTCTTTGTCATGTATTAGTATCGAAATCTGTTTGTATGTATTGCATAAGGGCACTTCATTATGTTGAAGCATTATTGTTCTTCTCTTATGTATTTTTTATTACTTCTGAGTTCCTATAAATAGGGATAGGTTGTAGAGTTAGAGTAACTTTTGAGCATTTTTTGTTCGTACTTTATTCATTCTCTGTAACCTTCAGAAGTATAATCGAGCCATCCAGATCTTATTTACTCTTTGTGCTTATCATTCAATCTAAACTCTGATTTCATTTCCAATACTCAATTAATAACAACTACATTTGGTATCTGAGCAGGATTCATATAGTTGATCTCTGATTTTCTCTAGTTTTCAAAAGTTTTTGAATCTCGTTCTAGATTCAAAATATTCTGCGCTTTTGATTATGAAAATCATTTCAGGTCATCTATATTGATTCGATTCTGCTATTAGTTTCTAAAATCGAGTCTTCCGTGTTTGTTTTCTGGAAGTTTCATCCATCAGATCTTAAATTTCTGAAGCTTTTCTCAAATATCGTATGCATAACAATGGCTAACTTCAATATGAACACAATGACAAGGTTTTTTCATCTTTTGGGCTCTTCAACCAAAATTCCTATGTTAATCCCCGAGTATTATGATCAACAGACTGACAGGATGGAGGATTATCTCACAGGAATAGATGAAGATTTATGGAGATGTGTTAAGAGTGGCAATTTTCATCTGTCAATGCTTTCTAAAATTGAAAGTGTTGGTTCTTCATCAGATGTTGCTACTTAAACAGCAAAGTGCAAAGCTAACGATAAGAGGTGTATGCGTGAATTGTGAGGTGCTCTTCCACCTGTGGTGTATAACTATGTCGGTGGATGTTCTACTGCAAAAGAAATTTGGGATACGTTGAAGGAGAAGTACTAAGGGAGTGAGAAAACAAAAAAGATTTCAGTTAAGCAATGTCTACTTGAGTTAGGTGAATTCAAACAAAAAGAAGGTGAGAACATTGAGCTTTACTACGATCGTCTAAATGAGTTAATCTTTAAGTGTAGCAGATATGGAGTCAACAGGTATACTATGGAGTACAATTTGACGTTCGTAATGGGGCTTCGTAAGGAATGGCACAATGTCAGTTTGATGATAAAAACTCAACAATGCTTCGACAGCTTTTCACTCGGTGATCTTTACAATGAGTTGAAGGCTCATGAAAGCGAAGTCACTAAAATAGAAGAGGAAAAGAGATTAGGTTTGGGTGGTCCTCTAGTGTTGATGTCAAAGGTGACAAATAGAGATGCTGAGATTGAATCAACTGAGATTAAAGGTTCGAAAAATGAAGGTCTTATTATAAATTCTGATGACGAAGCAGTGGCGTTTATTCAAAAAATAAGGTGAAGAAATTTTACAATAAGCCATTTAATTCGAAGTCTAAAACAAGTGATTCGAAAGGAAGTTCTTTTTTGAAGAGTGTGAGAGAGGAGAATAAAGAGGAGAAAAAGGAAGTTAATTCTAAGGATACGAAGAAGGAGAAAAAGCTAAAGGGTGACTCTGGATTTGATTGCCATTATTGCAATGGTGCGAATCACATGGCAAGTGATTGTATGTTAAGGAAAAGAGACGAGAAGAAGAATATGGTGAAAGAAGAAGCCTATTATGTAGAAAGGCTTGAAGATGTAAGAGCAAAGACGAAACGCATGTATTTAGTGGCTTAAGGGAGTGGCGAAGAGGATGGCACATATCAGATATGTTCATCTGGATCAGACGATGAGGAGATGCGAAATCCAACGCATTGTGCTATGTATGCCAATTTCGAAGAGGAAAATGTGTAATAAGAAATGGTGACTGGCGCATGTTTCGTCATTACTGTTGCTGACAAGTCTCCTATGACTTCTAAGGTACGTGCTCTTCTCGAATCCTTTGAAATTCCTTTTCGTTCAT